TTTTGTTTTAGCAAAAAAAAAAAAAATAAAATCGACCATTGGTGCCGTTACGATTGATGCACGACAGCGTTACGACGCCAGATTTATCTCTTATTCGACGAATTCGTGTTTTGAAATGTTCACCGCATTTTTCTGATTGTCGAATCAATAAACTTTTATTCACTGACCATAGCTAAGTTTTTCCATTTTTTTCGATTTTATACGTTTTGACATGACGTGATTTGTCATATCTAAGGGAGTTCGTTTACTTAACCGATCGCGACCAATGGACGTAAAACAAGTTGTTTGACTGAGAAAAATTTGCTCGAAAAATAATTGTAATCAGTACTATATTTATAATCCAATTGTTCAGTTAATGATAGTGATTAAGTAACTTGTGGCTACATTCACGGTGAAATGGATTTTTGACGAACATTCACTTACATGTTTTGCACATAGCTGTTCCGCAACTGCAATTTTGAGGTCCCGGAATAAAAATATTGTAGAAGCCCATTAGGTGGTGCCAAACAAAGTATGAAATGAAACTGAGAGTTTGCAGCAATGCACACACATCGATTATTTTGTAGTTCGGTATCCATGTGATGTATCCCCATCAGTTTATTCACGAATACCTATATGTAAATGTTTTAAGGGGAAAAAAATTAATAATACTTTGAATATTTAATATGCGATTATCAGAGTATATAAGTTGTCGATAAAAGTTTTTATCTAGAGTATCCTTGATGTATTGTATGTTTAACCCTAGTTTTGTTTAATACAAAAACACTGTATATAAAAATAAAATAACACAATTGAGAATTGTTTAAATTAGTTGTATAAAGAAAACATTTAGTGTAGTAAAATTAATGTTATTGTCAAATATTTTGTTACAAAAAAAAAAAAAAAAAAATGAGCTGATATAAAATTGATATTTTATTAGAATTTTCTTGGTAATTTATTTTTAAAATTTAAAGTGAATATTATTTTTAAAAATCATTCAGTCTTACCCGGAAGATTTTTTATTATTTTAGACTACCTTTTTTTGTCTGTTTGAATCGAGAAGATCAAGCAGGTGCTTTTTCACATTACTACCCCTTGGATTCCATTGTTTATTGAAGGAATAATATTATACATACATGACCTCACTACTTCAGCCGCGCAATTATATAAATTGATGTTGAAATAGTGAGGTCGCGACCGCTCTACAATGGTATACTAAATCTAATGGATTACTCTTCCTCCTGTCTCATGTACCCTCCTATAATGTTCTTTCTCCGCCAGGATGTCTTCAACCATCTTATAAAACGCTTGAGTTGCTCTGGTGGAAGCGACTGCTAGTGTCCTTGTCATTTCCGGGTACTTGTCATTTTGGTATTTCGGTCCACATAGCAAATTCGATAGGCGTTGTATCCCCGCTTCCAAAGAAAACCCTGACATATTGCCGATGTGGATCTCAGTGAGGGTAGTCAAAGACTGTATGTTCTGCTGTGTCCTGCAGGCTACCACAGTATGGGCATAAAGCGTCAGGTGCCCTCTGACTACCTAGAGCAAATAGTTTTTTAAAAATATTACATCGAAAAAACATACAATCGTCGTGCTAATATGTTTGCTAATAATATATTGTATATTTAAAAGCGAAAATATTTTAAAGTTCTTAAAATACAGAAAAAAAATAAATAAAAAATATTGAATAATTTGATGTCCAAAACTAGCAACTTGTGGACTTTATGTTAGTTGGACTAAAAAACAATGTAGAATTAACATTTTTTATTTAACCCACTTAATCAAATATTACTAAATAAATTCCGTGACCATATGAAAAATTTAGATTAAACCAATAGAAAAAAAAAAAAATGTATAGACTATCTGAACTTTAATCATTACTAATCGAATAGGTATAAATTCAAGTGTGTCCGTCCTAATTGAATATTATAACGTGATATGTGAATAAAATATTCTTTTTTATTTCACATTAAAAAAAAAATTACAATTTTAAAATACTATACGCTATAACACATTGATATTTAACATTTAACAGCAATGAACGTTTAATTAATGTACGTGTATGGTGTATATAATTATAAAAAATAATATAATATAATATTATTATTATATCTCATTGGCTTGATATTGTTAGAAAAATTAGAACTAAATATTTTTAATAACATTAAACAAAAATGAAATCTCATTGTACTATTCAAATATTTATGTAGAGTACATAAGATATATTTGATACTTTTTTTTTTTTTAGTATATAATATATTGTACAAACGATTGCCATAATAAAATAATAGTGATTAAATGCTCAATATATTTTCATTATATTAATTATTTTCTTAGTATAGTCATTCAGTTATAATAATTTTTATATAATTTTAAAATAAATTATATTTTATATTGACACATTTCAAAAGAAAAGTCATAAGTATAATTATGGGTATAGATATTTAAATATTCTATGCGGAGAAAAGTATTGTTTGTATAATTGTTCAACATAAACAATTATTTAAAATACCAATGAATGATTGAAAAAGCGTTTGAATATCAGTATTAAAATATTTTAAAACACTTAATGGATATTTTTATCTATTCTGTGTCTAATTAAACATTAGCCTAGTGGTTCTCAACCGGATTAACATTTCATCTAAGGGTGACACAGGCCAAGCACGCGAAAAGGAAAAAAAATGTAAAAAAAAATTCATTTTTCGAATAAAATCTTATTATGGTCATCACTGTCATGTAAACAGTATATCTTAAAGTTCACATATATAATATATCTATATATATTTGTATTTCATTTAAACTATACAGTTAAGATTGTTTATTATTTTGATGATAGTGTAATACAGTGTTCAATTTTAGTGGCTAAAGGTTACATGAATCAAAAAAGGTTGAGAACCACTGCATTAACCGATGATGAGTTACTGAAAAATAACAGACTGGAATGAAATTTGTCTGTGTCCTTTGCATTACGTTCGGATTAGGGATAAAAAGTTAAAATAAGTGTTGTTAAAAATAAAAAAAATAGTATTTTTTCTCTTAAAATCTATAGCATGCATAACTTGTAAAAAGTCTTTTGGTACAAGTTAATTAAGAGTAATTTGACGAAATCGAAAAAATAAATAATTTATAAATTAACATTTTTTTTTTTCATATCATAATATTATTATATCGCAAAATTTATGTTATTGCGTTATTTAGTGATATATGTTATATATTTTTATGCTATTATAAACAATATCTATCTAAAATTACATTGCGGAAAAAAAATTTTCAATCAGATTTCAATATCCAATTAAATGTGTTTGAAGTACGGATTTTCGGTATTTATAAGTAATTATTATTTCGGTCGTCGGAATAAGATGGTGTGCAAATATTTAATCAAATTATTAGGGCATCGTTTGATTTCAGTGTGTTGAGAATGATTCCTAGTCGTTTATACACAAATTCACGGGCTCCTACGCCTTTGCTTACAAACCACGACTCTTCGGTTTACGGTTTCAGGCCGAATGTCTCGTAAAATTCAAAGATCAGGTCAACAAATAAATAAATAATAATAATAATAATTATAATTATTAAACATTCGTTCGGACGCACAAGTTTGACGGAGTAGTTTGAACCTGATGGACAGTTGTCAAACAATTAAACACGGTCCACGTTGGACGAGCTGCGGTGACACTACTTGGATTTGATGTCATTGCACGCATTACTTAGTAGTGTTATCGAATCGACGTTAAGACGGTAAAACGTCACGGGCAGTTGAGACGCGATTACACATGTTTAGAGCATATTGTTTTATCGCGTTTGGTTGGCGCATCCATCGGGTGAACGTGCACGTTAAAGTCGCGAACATTGTCAACATATCTGAGTCGCGTGACAAGATTCAGAGGTCCAGAGACAATGTCCGTTCGCGGATTCGCTCGACGGTCTCCGGATGCAGTTGCGCGGTGACGAGTGTTGGTCTGATGCAATCGCGTCAGTCCTAGATATGTACACAGTAGGGGTGGTTACACCTGGGCCGGGTCCCAAAACTAGGTATCAACAACATCCTGTTTACATCTATAAGTAACAACCACCGAATAGCGGTTTATAGTTGTACGACAAAACTGTCTGTCAATATTACAATATAATACAGTGTACAGAAACACACTTTAAGAATACCGCGTTATTGTTGTAGGGGTATGTGGGTGGTGTGGCTTTATGTTTTTTTTTTTTTAAATATTTATTGTAAAGAAAACATTAATAATACTAGTACGATTAAATTGTACAATAAATTATCTACCTCCCTTAAGAATAATGCTTGTGATGGTGGTAGAGAGTTACATTATATATTGATTGATACATATATATATACACTATTAAATATCAAAACTAAATCTAAGATTGTGACATACAGAAACAAGAAAAAGTACACGAAATAAATTTTAAAAATATTGCATTTTAATCTTTATACACCATTCTATTGACATACTTATACATTATTTAATAAAGAAAATAGTCATAAATTAATTTGCTTTTTTATACTTGCAATTTTAAGATTCCGAGTTGAAGATTAAATAAGTTTTCTTAAATATAGTGGCATTAAATTATAATATTTCGGACCTAAATAATTAATAAATTTTTGGCCAAATGCTTTTTTGTAGTAAGTGATTGCGCCGAGGTCTGAGATCTTGTCATTACGCAGCTGTCAGGATCACCCATCCGTCCGATGAACAGTGGTGAACGATGTGATAAGACCGTGTCGTCCGCGTTCGATCGTTATCGCGACAACAGGCAAATCGAATGGTAATCAAAAGTTTGATTTTATTATTTTATATATATATATTTATTAACGTTTTCATTGCTATCATCCGAGCGCCGCACCGCCGCCCAGAACTTTGTGTGCAATAGACGAGCGCGGTAATAGATGCGCGCATGTGCTCGGCATGAGCTATTTGGAGGAGAGACGTAACTTTTTTGGCGCCCGACGGTCGACGGATTCGTTTTTTCGCCGGCGGCACGCGTTTAGTCTGTGCCGCGATTGCTCCCGTACGCACTCGTCTACCGCGCTCATCCCGTGCCAATAACTATTGCTATATTTGTTCTCACTCAAAAGCGCACGAATGATGTTTTACGATTTTTTTCCGGTCGTTATTAGTTCACTCGAGTCGTTCTTTTGTTTTGCGTCCCGCGCGGTAATGTAAGACACTTCGGGCAGAATGCTATTGTTTAGTAGTTGAAAATTATAACACACGGTCAGTAAAGTAAAAGCATTTATAAGAAAAAACCAAACAAAAACTATAGAAGTGATCTATTTAAAAACGTCAAAGACGATGTACGGGTAAAAAAAAAAATAATAACAATGGGATATATTTGGATAAAATATTATTTGGTTGTTAAATTTTCAGATTTCTTTTTTCCTTATGAATATTTCAACGTCTTTTTTTCGTCGTAATATGTGTCGATAAATTCGTACTAGAAATTTAAAAACTAGGAAACAACTTACATTTTATAAGGAATATTAAAAGTAAGACAAATACGTGTTAGTATTAATTTACAATTATAATGCCTGATACTTTTGTTAAAATATAACATCTTATATTTCTAATTAAATCAATTTTTGGTATTTTAAATAATTCGTTTAAAGTAACAAATTGCTAACGATTGTATTTTATCAGAAGAAAATTTTAGTTTTTAATCGGCGTTTGTTTGTGAACAAATAATTTGTATATAATATACATTTACTTTTGTAAAACATAAACATTACTTAAGTTAAAATATATACAATACTAAAATATTATTTCTTTTATAAGAAAATTAATTTTCATAAACCTTTATTTTTATAATAATATGTCTGTTTCACGATGGTTCTTTCAATTTTATAATGAATACAAAATGTAATAGTTTCGACGAACAAAGTATTTATTATTTAGTAGTTCATAACATACGTATAATTATTGCCATAAAATCATCAAATATTTAGTTTTAATTTATAAAACAATTTCGTAAAATTTTAATTTATAAGTCATGAAAATATCAAAAAAATAAGATATGGCAGGGCCGTGATAATCCGAACAAGACTGGGGAAATATGGATCTTATGGATTTCCGATTTATTCGGAATAACATGACTTAAAGAAAAAAATTATTTTTCTTGCAATTTAAATTTTGAAATTAATTTTTATCTATACGTTTTTGAAAAATTTATGAATAAAATTAAATGTATGTGTGAATTGTAATTGTTTGGCGAATTTTTTTAATAAATAATATAATTATTCATTAATTTTATAATTCGAAAACTGATAACTATTTGAATAACATTATTAGTAGTATGAAAATCTATTTATTTTTTTAATTTCACAAAACATTTTTATTAATAATTGTAACATTTTAATTGTTTCAAACCCAATAAAGATTTGAAGTTTTCACTTATCTAATTTATGATTAATTATTTTTATTTACCATATGGCATTACAACAGTATTTAGTAAAAATTGTTATTTAAAATTTATTCTTAACAAAAAGTGTTTAAACGCATTTAAAATAGTTATTTGATTCTTAATGGAACTATCAATATATTTATTTTGAAAACATTAAGAGTTATTAACTGCTTCTGGCATGTGGTATCACATTGGTCTAAAATTGAATTATTGAAGTTTCATCTATATTGTTTTACATATACTCGTATGTATGTATGTATAAATAAGTTTTGCGTAAAACAATTGTGGAACGGAGTGTACATGGCTTGTATATTAATTTATTATGCTTCAGACATTCTCTTAATTATTGTTAATCAAGTCGAACAAATAATTACACGATTGAGTTAATTTAAAACATGATGAGTGTGTCGTTGTTTAGTGCAATAATTATTTACGTCTTAAGCTGTATGCCAGTTAAAAAACTTGAATAGAATAATTTAGCTTGCATGTTTTTTCTTCGATATTGTCAACCCACCCATTGAAAACATAATAATCTGTTCGATATATACTATATTTTATAGAATTCTATGTGAAATTTATTAAGAAAAAAATTGAAGTACAAGATTTAGGAGGATCATGGAGCCGGTACTTTAAAATTCAAATTTATAATATTAATCATTGTAGTCGAAAAATAATTCTAAATTTATTAACCGGTGTTCATACTTACCTAACCTAATTAAAAATAATCATAATTTAGTCGGAACCATGAAAGCCACCCGTTTATCTTCATGAAAATAATCTAAAAAATCGTAAAAACTAAAAAAACTTTAAAATTAAAATGCATACCTGTTAATTGAAAAGCGCATTCTACATATATATATATATTTATGTACATGGTGCTGAGGAAACACGAATTGTACAAACGGACGAAACACGGATACAGAAATTACTTTATTACTATTATTGTTCTACTGTAAATTAATGTTTCAGTCGGTTTATCAAAGAGAATCTAAATTAATAATTAATCAAAATTAACTACATACTTAAAATAACGTAAGGAGATTACATTTTTCAGCAAATGTATACATTATATATGTATACCTATATAAAACTAACAAGTTCCGTAGCATTAAAAAATAGTTTATAGTTTAACCAAAACTTGATGGTTTTGGAAAATAATAAATTTGTTCAAATATAATTAGCTAATACTAATTTCTTATCTGCAGATTGCGACTGTTTATTTTTCCATCGTAGACACGAAGAAAAATATGAATAATAAAATTTGTCTTTATTTTTATCAATGTGACTTCAGTTTATTATAATAAGTATTTAGATACTGACATTTTTTACTTTTTAATACCATTTACCATTTTTTTAAACCCCATTGTAAGAAATGTATGAGTTTTTTAAATATAAAATTATTCATCAAAACTTGTAGGGTTATGATTTAGCAGTAGGATAAACAAATGTAAATTATATAACTGTGTAATTTATATTTTTTTACTAACCAAAATAATATTTTAACTTTTGTGTATTATTTAAAAATTTGACTTTTAAAACTTTTTTTTTAATTTATATTACAATTATGGCGAATTCAAATCCTATGTAATATAATTATTTTTATTTATTTATTCCGATATAAAAATATTTTCTTTTCTTATAAAAATTTCTCTGACTATTATTATGGTTATAAAAGTATTATTGAATTTCTAATCCCAATATATTATTGGATGACTAGAACGGTGATTATCGTGAAAATAATACGATATTACAAAATAATATTTCACACTCGACAAACGGTTAAGTCGTTGGTTATGAAATTTCGTTGAGATATATATATATATATATATATATATATATTTTAATGTTAAAATTAGGAATTGAATTGAAATATTTCTGAAACATTAAAGTTGATTATTTCTGTGGGAGTAATGTTGTTTATCTTTGAAATTTTAAACTAAATCCTAAAAAACACATCTTTTCTGGGAGTTGTAAATTTCTAAACAGCAGTCAATTATGCCAAAGTGCTTATCTGAAGCTGGAGGATTTTATGCTACTGTCAGACAATATGTAATTGACGGCTTTGCATAAATTAATATCCGGAGAAAAAAAAATTGAATATCCCTTTTTGTTAAGAATTTATTGGCTGTCAATAGAAATCGCGCCATGAGGAATATATAAGTATTATACATAGGAACTTCTATTCATTTTTGCACGGTTTCGCGCTACAAATCTGATTTAGCATTTGGCTATGGCTAACATAATGTTTGCCAAAATCACCACCGAAAACTAAATAATTCAGTATTATTTTTTTTCTGGCCCAATAACCTGTTGTCCCTCATAATCGTTAATTTATAATCCAATCGCGAATTTCAAATACTATATTTAAACGTGCTCGAATATAGTATATTCTATAAATTCTTTTGTTTTATCTTATTTTAAAATTGTTTTTCTATCATTGCCCGAGTGGATATTGACGAGAAAACACGAGTAAACCGCAGTCGATTAAAAGAAAGAATTCGTCGTATATACATTTGTGTACATAACGGCCGAAATATAACGTATATAGGCGCAAGAATAACTTTACATAATACTATAGAATAATATCTCATCATAGGGTATTGTTTTGGTAAATCTAAATGAATTTTTAACTGACGTACCCATAAAAATGTTTATATCTAAAATGATATCAACAATATGAAAACGATGTATATACATAGAAAATTTTGATGAAATTCAAATACGGTGAACGTCGAAAGGTTTTCTCTCTGGACGTGGTTGTTGCGCTGAATTGAAAGGCGTACCTTATTACCTGAATTCGGTAATTTTACGCATTTATAACGGATAGGTATATCACCAAGCATAGACAGTTATGATAACTGCATCGTTGCTTTTATTCCACTCATTATTAACAACGTCCTCGATGAGTCATACGGATGCATTCGTCGACCCTTTGCATGTTATTATGGACGCGTGCAAAAATAATTATTCTTCATAATTGGCGATTAAGATATGCAACAAAACATGTACACACATTTTTCCCCACGTTGGATTGCGTGATTCGTTCATATTCTGACTGAAATTAAACGTAAAAAGTGACGCCCTACACCGTGGATTTGTAGACGTTCGTGTACAGTTTCATTATGTGTCACACCATCCGGGCGGCGTGGTGTACGAGTACGTGTACACGTAAATAATAATCGTTTTAATCCTCGGTGCATTATGACAGTTCAAATAGTTATTATGTAAATTCAAACAGTAGTTAGTAGGTACACGTAATAATGACCGTTTTTTTTTTTATCGGATTTCAACAACGGATTCGCTCAAAGCGTCTAAGCTTTTAGTTCTACATGGCTCTGCTCATGTCCCTTTGATCTGTTTACGAAATTCCATTTCACAATATTGACGACGAAATGTCTAAGAATAATATACATTTACATATGTATATGTTGTGATTTCGTTTATTCGTTACGGTTTTGGTTTTAATCATGTGTTTTATTAACGGTCGGATCTGAAGACATCTGATAACGATCTGAATTCCGTTAAATTGAATATTCTTTGATATCTGAGGAAGTTATCATTTTTAACAAGCTTCATTATCAATTCGATAATACAAAATTACATCTCGTTTGTATGTGAAAAGTGTACACCTTACGAATAATCCACAAAGATCGTCTACTTACGTGTAAATAATTAATTTTTACTAACATTTAATATATTAATAGTAAAGTATGTACCTGTTCACGTTAACCAAATAAATAAAATATTATTATTAGAAACTCATAAATCATATAGTTGTTCTTAAATAATATATCATTACGTACAACGTGTGCGCGTG